AGCCCACCAGGGGGCGGGGCTGGCTGGCATGTGGTGCTGGGGGATTGAACCGCGGTCCCTGATGCTTTGCCAAGCTAGTTCCAAGTAGGTGCTTTAGACCACTGAGCCATCTCTCCAGCCCCTGATTTTTTTTTTTAAATCAGACTCATATAAATGAAAAAAAAAATCAGACTCGTAGTGATCCTCCTGTCTCAGCCTGCCCAGTGCTAGGATTACGGGCATATGCATGCCACACCTGGTTTTGGTGGCTGGCACAGTGCACCCAGGGTTCCAGTGCCGGCATGGATGCAGTACCAGGGATCGAACCCAGGTTCTTGCACTTGCCAGTCTGGCGCTTAGACCACCAAGCTATCTCCCTGGCCTTTGACTTAAATTTCTAAATCGTGAAATACAGATTGAGTTCCTTTAATCTGCTAATAAAGAATCTGAAATCTGAATGAAACTTCAAATGTCACATTGCAGCAATTTGGATTTGTTTTGGACTTTTGGATTAGGAATGCTCACCAACAAAGTGTACCAATGTTCCCAAGACCAAAACAGTTCTGTTGTTTGAAACGTGCTGATCCCAAGCACTTTAGATAGGTTTGATCAGCCTGTATTCATCTTCCCTATTCTTGTTGCAAAATCACTCTTTACTTCAGTTTCTAACATTAGGTAATTCTTCATTATGAACTAAGGAAAAAAATATACAAAGAGTAGATTAAGAAAAACAAATTAGGGGCCAGGGAGATAGCTCGGCAGTCTAAGCTCCTTCCTGGCAACTGTAAGCACCTGGGTTCGATCTCCAATACTGTATGCAGTGCTGGCCACTGCAACCGGGCGTGGTCGCGGATGCCTATAATCCCAGTGCTGGGGAGGCTGAGACAGGAAGATCACTATGAGTCCAAGCTGCGTAGTAAGACCCTATACCAAATATATAAACAAATAAACAGATTTTAAAAAAAGAAAAAAAAATGAGGTAGGATATACTAGGTAAAGGTAATTTAAAAAATTAGTTTCAGTTTTGGTTTAAAGATGTGACACAAAGAAGTGTTAATACTTAAAAGAAGTTAAATTTTTAGTTATAGTAATTAATTTTTGAGTGTAGTTTTTCATTGCAGGTATTTAAAATATTTTATAGTACAAAAATTACCATGGCTACCTCTATTTTTTTCCATCTGTACTTTTTTTTTTCTACCTATACTTTTTGTATCATTTATTTTTGCTAGACTTGGGAACTTGAGAAAGTTTCTTTTTAAAACTGAAAGAAGCTCCTGGTTCTTTCATACATACTTTACAGTGCTAACTTGTTTAACATTAAGCTCTGTCAAAAGTTGTGGAAATTATGTCATTTAAGCTTTAGGTGTTTCTAAAGGGTATATGCCTCAGCTTTCTGCATATGTAAAAAGTTCCTGCTTTGTGTTCTAGCTAGGGTGATGAAATAGCAGATGACCAGAATTTAAACTTGTAGAGCAATGATGGCAAACCTTTTAGAGTCAAGCACCCAAACTGCAACCCAAGACCTACTTAGTTACCACAAAGTGCCAGCACTACAATTAAGCCTGAATGCTGAAGCTTTAGTTTAGAGGAAAAAAAAAAACACCTCATAGATTAGTATTTTTTGTCTTAAAAGAAAAGCAACACACATGCCAGAGGTTTGCCGCCCCTGCTTTTGAGTGTTAAGAGTGACAAGGCAAGACTGGCAGTACATCTATTGAAATACCAAGTGATTCAGGTCTCCACCCAGCAAAGCTACTATGGATTTTCTTAGGTGGATAAGTATCTCTGTACTTGGTGTCATAGTGACTTGTGATCCTGATCCGTGTTCCTGCACAGTGCCTTTCCTTGTGGCAGGCCCAAGTGCACTGTTAATTCCTGCTGTCAGCCAGTATTCAGAAGAGATACATATGCTACGCCTTGAAACTAAGCACAAAAATGTAGATTGAAACAATAGAGGAGGGGCCAGGGAGATAGCTCAGTAGAATAAGTGCTTGCCTGTCAAGCACAAGGGCCTGAGTTCAATTCCTGGTTTGGCAAAAAAAAAAAAAAAAAAAGAAAAAAAGAAAAGAAAAAGAAAAAAGAAACAATAGAGGAGCACTTTTAATCATTTTTATATTTTATATGGTCTTATTAATCCTATTTTTTTTTTCCTATTGGTATGTTTGGCTTGATTTTTTGAGACAGGACCTCAGTATATAGTTGGAACTGGTCTTAACTCACTGTGTAGCCCAGGTTGGTCTTGAACTTGCTGTGATCCTCCTGCCTCAGCCTCCCAAGTGTTGGGATTACAGGCGAGTGCCACCATACCTGGATTATTAATCTTATTTTGAAAAGTTATTGTGGTTTCACTATTGGAGTTTTGTTTTGTTTTTGGAGGTAGATGTCTCACTCTGTTGCCCAGGCAGGCTTCCAACTTGTGATACTTCTGCCTCAGTCTCATAAGTTGTTGAGATCACAGGCATGTGCAACTTCATCTGCCTCATCATTGTAACATTTTTAACTGGCAGTGGGAATAGTTTTAACTTTTTAGTTTTATTCTTTAAGACCTACAAAGGTGGTGTCTTTGTGATATCTGGCATACTTTTTAGAAGATTGGGGGTAATTTATAGAAGTCTGGCTATTATTTGATAATTTTCCAAAAACGCTTGATTTCAAATTTGTTTCTGCTTTCTGAGGGGGAATTTCTAATTGAAGGCTGAAATTCAGGTTGGGTTTGGTGGTACCCACCTGTAATCCCATGCATGGGGAGGCTGAGGCAGGGCATCACAAGTTTGAACCCAGCCTGGGCAACTTAGTGACATAAATAAGAAAGTAGCAAAATAACAAAAATTCTTTCTCAAAGTAACAAATAATATTATTTTGAAAAGGGCTGAGGATGTAGCTCAGTGAAAACACTCTGGGTTCTATCCCCAATGCTACAACCAATCATTCAGTCAGTGGATAAAGTTGCCAGGCTACTGTGGTGGTAGCCTATGTGCTGTGACCAGTGGTTGTGGGTCTGAACCTTTTTGCAAATTGAGCTGGTCACCTCCCTACATCTCCACACACTCTTGCTGTGCCTTTGGTCAGCCAGGAGGACAATGCTAACTAGGGCACTACGGTCCACTACTTAGCACTCAGCTAGTGAAGCTTCATACAAATGGGGTTTGAACAACTGCTGAACACTCACTTGAAATAACAGCCACTTTCCTGGATTTGTTTTTCAAAAGCAGACGTGCACTCTGCCCCTCCTGATGTCACCACGGGCATTGTACCGTATTCACACTATGAGCGGCCACAAGTGGCCTCGGTGAGAGGTGTCCCTCGAGGGTACAGTGGCAGCATCCTGGAAACGGCAGATGGTGAGCATCCCTTTTCTCTTCAGGTTGAAAACAGCTTTGTGTGTTCCCTTAGCAACCTTGAGCAGCCGTCCTCTGTAAGCCATGTGCATGTGAAAGGAAACTGGTATGTGCAGTGGATGTTACCACAGAACACTTGGAACGCAGAGACAATTGCAGATATCTACAGAGTGGTCAGACAGGGAAGCAAGAGAGTAGGGAGTTGGAAAAAAAATAGCTAGTTGGAAAAAAAATCTCAGTGGTGTTAATAAGTGGTTGTAGCTTTCAGAAAAGGTATTACATATAATTTGTCATATCTAGACTGGGTACAAAAGGAGTTGGGCCTACAGCCTTGGAGGAGACGAGCAACTGTGGCAGGCTTCTGCCTTCTGATGCAGTGCGCTGTGGTCCTCACCCCAGTTACTTGTGAGGCTGCTGCAGTGGAGTTCCCCTGTGCAGGCTCAGAGATGTTGGTGATTTTCTGAATGTCCTCGCGTGTGGCTCTTCTCCTCTGTGTATGATCCCATGCCCAGTCTCTTCCCTTGGGGAGCCTCTTCCACATATCCACCAGGTACCTCTCTTGGGAACACCCTCCTTGAGCCATGAGATTTTGGCCTAACCCAAGATCACAGTTTTCTTCTAAATCTAAGATTTTAGAGATGCCAGTGAAACTAAGTGGGAAGAATTATTTTTACAGTAAGTGGTATTAGAATAACTAGATGTCCATAAACAGAAGTATTAACTTTACTCATACCTTAGACTTTTGCTAAAATTAGAATTAACTACATAGGTAGTGTTGACCATTTGTGTGGGACTATTTCCATAGTGCTGGTCATTGCTGTTGTTCTTGTCTATAATACAACACCTTACATTGCCCCGATCACTGCGGTTTCATAGATGTTCCTGAAATGGTATAGTTTAAGTCCCCTATGTCTCCTTTTAAAAAGTGCATTGGCTATTTAGTTTTTTTGTATTTAATACATAAAAATCCATTAGCTATTTCTCTAAAAATCTCCTGCTGGGATTTTGACTGATACTTCATTGCATCTCCAGATCAACTTGGCAAGATTTCAGACAATGAACATGGAAGAGCTCCATTTTTTTTTTTTTTTTTTTCAGCTATTTGGATTTTTTTTTTTTTTTTTGGCTGGCTCAGGCTACCTTAAGGGCAGGTCTGATAAAGCACATGGAGCTGGGGATCGAACTGCGGTTCCCTGAGCCTGACTAGGTTTGCCCAAGCAGGCCCTTATACAACTGAGCTAACCCGCAAGACCCAATTTTTTAGCTAGTTGGAAAAAAAATCTCAGTAGTGTTCATAAGTGATTTGTAGCTTTCAGAAAAGGTATTACATATAATTTGTCAAAATTACCCCAAAATGTGTTACATATTTGATGCAGTTGTAAATTGTAAATAGTGTTAAGTTTGTCCCAATTACTTGTTGGTAAGCTATAGAAGTGCAGTTGATGTTGTATTATTGATCTTATATTTGTTCTAGTAACTTTTCTGTTGGTAGAATCTTTAGAATCTTCTAATGCACGATTATATTGGCTATGAATAAAACAGCCTTATATTTTTGTTCCAAATTTTATGCTTTTAGAAAGAAGGAGGCTGAGGCAGGAAGGTCATTGCAAGTTTAAGACCAGCCTAGGCTACAGAGTGAGCTCAAGGTCAGCCTGAACTGCATAGTGAGACCCTATCTTAAAAGACAAAAGCAAGGGCAGGCCAAATAGCTCAGCAGATTAAAGTGCCTGCCAGCAGGTGCAGGGGCCAGGGATTCCATCTCTGGACTGGCTATGCTTGCCCCGCCCCTGGGGTGCACTGAGATGGCAATTGAGACTGGGCGTGGTGGCGTGCACCTGTAATCCCAGCTCTTGGGAGGCTGTAAATGGGGAGTGGATCACTATGAGTCCGATCTAGTAGTGAAACCCTGAACACCCTGTAGACCCTTCCCTAAAAATACACAAAAAGAGGGGGGCAGGGAGATGGCTCAGTGGAATTAGCGCTCCCCTAGCAAGCACAAGGGTCTGAGTTCAATCCCCGGTTCTGCCAAAAAAAAAAAAAAAAGGACAAAAACAAAACAAAAATAATTAACTCATTACTGTTGACATAAATCTCACATACTTATGAAAAACATTTCCCAAAATACTCTGCCAGTCTCTTACAACTAGCTAACCAAAGCGCTAGAGTTCGCATGTCTTTCACATGTCTAGCGATATCACATGAGTGTACCTGCAAATCAAGAAATGCAAATGATGTCTGTACTACCATGGAACATTCCTCACCTCATAAATCTTGGAAAGGTGCCAGGCCTCCCTGGGCCACTTTGGAAACTGCAAACTTAGAACCAGACCTGTCTTGGAAGGCATTTAGAAAATATGTGTCAATGAGTTGATTGATTCCTGAGGGGCTGACTGTCCGAGGGAGCCTTGTGCCTGGCACACTCCTGTGGATATGTCTTGTCTTGACCTCAGTCCTTTCTGTTTCCCCTTTGACAGGTGTCCCTGTGAACAGCAGAGTGTCCTCCAAAATCCAGCAGCTTTTAAACACCCTGAAGAGGCCAAAACGCCCTCCTTTGAAGGAATTCTTTGTCGATGATTTTGAGGAATTATTGGAAGGTAAACTTAAACTTCCGTGTTTGTGTGAACCAGGTGGCCATAAAGTCTAGAAGTACACACGAATGTACATTGGATGCGAGTTACAGCTGTTCTGTCAGAGCACAGTAAAGCCGAGGCATTGGTGTCATAGTGGTTAGCATAGCTGCCTTCCAGAACACAGTGACAATCTTTCCCTCTGCCCAGGCTGTGTGGTCACCTTGTGTGATGGTGACTGTAGAATCACGTGTGCCTGCTTCATTTCAGCAGGTGATGACCGTGCATGGCCGAGAGGAAGATGACATAGCATTTCTGTGCTCCTGATCTGGTGCTTAGAGCAAGGGGTATCAGAAATTTGGTGAATGTTTAAATTTAAAAAAAAAAAAAAAAAACTATTAAAGTAAATGACATGTTGCCAAAAAATGATGGACAACTTTTGGCCCTTCCCCAAAGTCAAAATGAGCATGAGAGGTAAATATTTTGAATTGATTCACCATATCAAGGCAGCCACGCGCCATCTTGGCTGCGCCGTGAGGTTCGAGCGTGCCTGGTCTGTGGCAGTGTGGGCAGCAAGCAGGATGGAGCACTACCGGAAAGCTGGCTCTGTAGAGCTCCCAGCACCTTCCCCAATGCCTCAGCTACCTCCTGATACACTGGAGATGCGTGTTCGAGATGGCAGCAAAATTCGAAACCTGCTGGGCCTGGCACTGGGCCGCTTGGAGGGTGGCAGTGCTCGGCATGTGGTATTCTCAGGTTCTGGCCGTGCTGCAGGGAAAGCTGTCAGCTGTGCGGAGATTGTCAAGAGGCGAGTCCCAGGTCTGCACCAGCTCACCAAATTGCGATTTCTGCAGACTGAGGACAGTTGGGTTCCAACCTCACCTGACACAGGCCTAGACCCCCTCACAGTACGCCGCCATGTGCCTGCAGTTTGGGTACTGCTCAGTCGGGACCCCCTGGATCCCAGTGAATGTGGTTACCAGCCTCCAGGGGCACCCCCTGGGCTGGGCTCTGTGCCCAGCTCCAGCGGTGGCTCCCGACCCCACAGAAGGCCACGAGACAACCGTTCCTGAAGACCTGCCCAGCCAAGCTATTCTCTAGGCCTGAATATCTGGGATGACTGCCTTTTCCAGGAAGCTCAACTTTCCCAACAAGGCCCGGGTCCATAGAAGTCCTGCTCCCTCTGGCATATGGGAAATACTATAAAGAATAACATGTGTGGGGTCTCTGCTGAGTTCTGGATTGCTTGAGAAGGGCTTACTCTGCCTTCTACATACACTACACCTCATCTGCCTTCTGGCAAAGGCTTAGGAAGTTAGGAAATAAAGGTTCTATCATTTAAAAAAAAAAAAAAGGCAGCCACAACAGCCCAAAGACACTTGGGAAAGAGAACTTCAGAACTGCTTTACAAAGTGACAAGAACAGTAGGATATTTTCAAGGTGATTGGGGAGTATTTTGAGGTAGGTTAATGATGTGTCCTTTATGGTAATACATTTAGGGAAATCTAAGCATTGACCATATTTTGTTTTTGTTTTTGTTTTTGTTTTTGTTTTCAAAGTTTTATTGATAAACAGATAGCAATGAGACAGTTTCAAATCAAATCGGAAGTACACTTTCAACAAATAATACACTGCATCTATT